ACCACAAATTGACATTAACACGTCCAGTTTTAGTGTTTAGTCAATGCGGTTAAGTTCAAAGGTTTTGAAAGTTTCAACTTTTATGCGATGTAAATGAACAAATGTCTCGTAACTTTTTCGGATTGTTTGAAAATTTCCAAGATCAAGTTACATCTAAAGACGTTGCGATAAAAAGTGTCGATTTTGATTTGAAACTCAACCAAAATCGTGATTTTATCTTTGACAATTAGTGATACAAATGCAACTAGGGAAGAATAGTGTGCAGCTGCAGTGGGTTTAAACTCGGTTAAAGTCAGCAATATGGTATTTTGCATATTATCTAATAACTTCTATAGATTGAGGCACGTTGGCGGCGTTGAGTGGGTGTGAGATGGAATTGGTTAGGAACCCGCGCGTTGTAAGTTCTAAGTTTGTATCTTCATTTTAGAAATTTCAGTGGTTCAACAGCAAGTCCGACGAGCCCGTGGAAAGCTCGACAATTGACGGGCTACTGCGGATGGCCTATGATCGAAATCGAGATCGAGATTTGGAGGAACGATGGAAACGGTAATGTGTCGTCGTTTTAATGTTTCGAAAACTTCTTATTTAGAATCAACACACGTGGAGATGTTTCAGCAACTGGGAGCAGCCTGTTAATCCTGAAGATCTTAGTGGTTTGCTTAAAATTGTGAGGATGAAGCAGAAAATTTTGATCCAACTAGATTTTCTACGATATCGGCCGTTTCGGGAGCTACCGAGTTCCCCGAAACAACTAAAGATGAACTGCAACAAATGAATGGTATTTAGCTAAATTATCATGAAAAGGTCACATAATTTATTTGGTTTCAGATTGGATGCTGAACCCGCAAAAGGACATCAAGCAAAGCCCACGTCTAAAGCCCACCTAGGACGCGTTGAACAACGAAGCAAAAACGATTCTGGCTGAAAGTATGTTGTTTTGTGATACTTGGAAACGTTTTGACATTTGAAAATTTGAGTGAGTATTTGTAATTTGCTATTTCTAGCACGTAAAAAGTCATTGAACAGCGATAAAGTGAACTCGGAAATAGCGAATTTTACAATCGATGAGTCGATAACGTGAAAGTAAGTTCTTTAAGACATTCACTAGTTAACTAACATTTTGAAACTTTCTACTCATATTTACATTTAGTTGGGTGATGATGATCGATCTTTGGCAACGGAAAGCTTGGATGAGGCGACGTGTCGACAAAGTATGGAAGAAGCCGAGCGACTTTGTTTCTTTGGTCAATTTTTTTTTGCTTTTGGTGCCACGGTTAAATTTTTTGGTAAACCCCAGTAAAACAGGAAAAAAACAAACAAAAAATCTACAACCCTGGTAGGAGCCGGTCACCGTCTTTGCCACCTCTTTCACCAAGCCGAAGTCGCCGAGATTTAGGGCGAAGTCATTGTTTACTAGAACACTAAAGCTTTTAGTTTGTTAATCAAATTTTGAAAGCTACTTGTTTTGATGTCTCGATGGATTCGCTTTCTGTCATGGAGGTAGTCAAGGCTACAGAACAGGTGCTCTGCCCAACATAAAATGGTCTTGTTTCATTTCCCAATCCTCCAATTCATCAATTATACAAAAAAAGAGTGAATAAAAAAATCTATAAGTGAAAAGGAGACCAAATTTTTTTGAGTGAATGACCAAATCTATGCAAATTTCGTCACGAATTCTATCCCCCGCGTGACTTTGAAAGGGTTTCCTTAAAAATAAGCCAAAAACAAGGTACAGGTGAAAAAAAAGAACTAGATAATAAAATAAAAGACATCGAAAAGCGGATAGAAATTCATAAAAAAAAAAGCACGGAAATAGAACAAATGCGCACCTTTTTTCGGGTTTAGAAAAAAAAGCTAGTCTTAAACCAATTTACATTCAAAAAGTTGTTTTCTAGGTAATTTTCGGGCGTAGAATCGAAATTTTAGCATATCAGAGCTTGTTGAAGCGAACAGACGGAGTTATACATACCGTAAATACTGTAATAGTACCCCACCCCCCTCGTACAGTCGCGTAGTCGCAAAAGTTTTTTAGTATTTCATTTTTTTCAAAGCACCCGTACTTTCAAAAAAATGCGTCTTTGGTATCAAAAAATAGCCCTGAATTTCAGCTATTTTTTGATACCTAAGCGCGCATTGTAGCATAAACCAGTGTCGAGAAAAACGCGTCCAAAGCTAGACTACGCAACCCTCCGCACCGTCATTATGGGGGTGGGGTACTATTACAGTATTTACGGTAGGGAAAATCGGTAACTTTCTGTAATTTGACCTAGCCGTTTTATCTTTCAAATTGATTCCACAAGCTCTGAGATGTCAAAATTTCGATTCTACGTCCGAAAATCACCTAGAAAAACAAATTTTGGAATGGAAATTCGTTTAAGATTAGCTTTAGAGAAAAGAAGTGCGCTAATGGGCCGGGTGCGCAAAAAAGATGCGCAAATGGCCGGGTTCGCAAGAAAAAAGCTAGCATCTATCCCACTCCCAAAAACACCCATTTTTAAGCTCTTGTCAAGATGTGCTGTAAATAGGGCACGTAAAAGAATCGGTGAGAAATGAGACAGAAATCGGGAGGATATTGGATGGCAAATTACGTCGGGTTACGGCAAATTTTTCGTCGAGAAAGCCGAGAAAGTTGCCGATTTTGCTGGATGTTTTAGGAACGTTTGTGGAGCAGTGGATAGCGCGCCGGTCTATCGGCCATATGATCCGGGTTCGACCTCCCCGTGCAACTCGATTTGTGCTTTTTAAAAAACCCAAAAGCACCTTGCACAACTAAATTAATTTAATTCCCTATTCAACGGCGCAAAAATCATTGCAAACGGTCCTCTGGCGGCTGAGGAGTAAAAGTTGCCAAAATGCCCCTTTGCTGAAATATGGTCCTCTGGGAGGAGTCCTAACCAATGGTATTTAGCTAAAGTGCTATAAAAAAAGCCACATAATTGATTTGGTTTCAGATTTGATGCTGAACGCGCAAAAGGACATCAAGCGAAGCGCACGTCTAAAGCGCACCTAGGACGTTTCGACAAATTATGGAAGAAGGCTGAAGATGAAAACATGACAAATGAGGTTTGTTTTAACAAATGTTAGTGTTGGCTTGGTTAAACACAAGACTATACATCCTATTCCTGACTATACATCCTATTACAAGAGGTGAACGATTGGAGAAATAGTGGAATCCAGCCGGTAGCTCGCCTTCGAATGAAAAAGGATTTTTAAGGTTGATCTTTAAGAAATAGGTTGTGTTTACTTGGTGAATCTAATTTTCTTTTTTGTACGTTCCCTTGCGATTCGCTTGTTTTTCTGAGATTTCGCTCTACATATGGGATCTCTGCAAGAAATGTATAAACTCACAAAATGCTGTCGCCAAAAATAGCATCAAAAGCTTTCATCCCACCAAACCACCAATTCAGAGCACTTTTCAAAATCAGGCCCTTAAATCATTTTGTCGGAGTGGATTTTCAGCCACTGATAGGTTAGACTGACTAAAGTAGACAAGCCGATGAAAACAACAAATTCAGGCACACCATTTTTGTCGATCGAAAGATTGCTGGCGGAATTGAAAGAGAATTTCCCGTCGATCTCGGAGATTTTGTTCCTCTATCAGGACAAACTGCTCTACTATTCAGCGAGCAAGGCCGATTCACCCCTATATCGGCTCTAAAATAATCAGCCGATTACCCTTGTGAGAAAAGATTGTTGTTGAAAAGCCACTAGCATAAAGCAGCGCGGAGAACAGGACGTTCAAGGTTAGACTACGCGGCAATAACCCGTCATTAGTCATTATGGAGTACCGTTCTATTTCAGTATTTACGGTAAGTAGAAACTGAAAAATTTGAGACATTCAGTCTTTGGTTGAATATTTTTACGTTTGCTATCGTTAAATCGAGAGTCGACTGTAGTTAAAAGTAAACATTTTTCTGAGAAGTAATTTGAAAAAGACTTGTATTTGAAATGTAGAGCAATTATCTCTAGAAAAGCAAAAAAGTGAAACTGCTGGCTCGAACGCGAGAGGGTTTGCCCCGTGTTCTAGTTGACTCCCACTTGCCCACCACTGCTCCTTAATGTGGCTCGGAAATCTGCTGATAAACTCGAGGCATGCTTTTTAAAATTCCATACAAAACTTTACAGGCTTATTGACCTTAGACAGTGTGCCGTTAAGCAAAAACGGCAAGTAGATTCGGATTCAGCATGCAACTCTACGTCGGAAAATTTTATGGCTTATGTCATTTGGTCAACCTATCCAGTTGACCTTTCCTTGTAAATCAAAAGTTTTTTAACAACCTTAGCTAAACTATGACGATTTCACGCTGAAAACCGTTTTATTATAACGCCTTTCAATTGCGAGACCTAAAATAGGAGAGTAGAGATTTCGTAGAGTAGAGATAAATTTCAAAAGAAGTCAGACTTCAATTGTTCTTGTTTAACGATGAGAAAATCTTCACTATTTAACAGTTTTCGAATCTACGGGACACTAAAAAATGTTAGAATCACATTTAAGTTTTGGTTTTTTCGAGAGAACAACATAAGTTTGTGACAAGCTCATTTTTTTGTCACAGTAGACGCTTTCTACAGATCTTTCTAGGCAAGCAACAGATTTTTTTATCATTAACTTAGCGTACATCATTTCCTATTAAAGATATTCAGGGATACTTCAGCCAGATCAGGCCTGCAAGTTAAGCTATCGGACATTTGAAGCGCCCTCCCCTTTTACCATTACCATAACTTTGAGCTCAAATACCTTGATGTTGAGCTGTTCAATTAAGCTATTCTTAATAACATTAGATTCGCCAAGGCTTTCTCTGTCGATTTGTATAAAAAGTTTTGAAATTCGACAGCTGAGCACCAAGAAATTTGAGGTTATTAGCTCCTATAATGGACTAATTTAGATAAATATTGGAAGATTGCGCAAAAAATTGGAGGATTTCATAAAAAATAGAAGAAAATAAAAAAACAATAAAAAAAGCTCAAAAATGCAAACTAACGGATTGTTTGGTTCGTTTCTAAAGTTTAGCATTGACGATAGTCGACAAGACATGCATTGCTGAAAACCAACATAGGCTCGGCATAACGGCCTGCATTTCGTTGACTCTCCACATAGAAACGCTTTGCCAATTCTGAAAAAAAGCTTTAATTGACGATGACGCTAAAAAACCTCATATCCGTCCTGTTGACATGTCGTTTCGAGTGTGTATTGCGAACCAACGATTTCGATTACTCGTCGAAAGCAGTCACTAAATTTTGCAAGTTTAAACCTCTATCTCAAACGTTAGACCTTTAGTTAAAAAGTCTTGTACAATCTTCGGTATGTGATCCAATTCACTTTCACTAAAGCCACCAGATTGATTTTAGATCAGGTTGGCCATACCTTGAAGTTCCTTCGACAATCACAGAATCTTTCTTCATTGTAGCATCTTCGATTTGTGGTTCCTCAAGTCTAAAAAAACCTTTCACATTTTACCTTTAATAAATTCTACTTTCTGACAAGCTCGATTGCATCGTCAGTTAGGATCGTCGCCAGACGCATCATCGTCATGTTCATGTTGTGGACGTGGCAACAGTTGACAAATTTCGCGGGTCGTCCAAAACGCGATGTTTTTAATTTCATTTAGCTTCAAGTTTGTAAAAATTTGCCACTTTAGATTCCTCCCATGCTTCAGATTTTATTGGAGGCTGGTCTCGTTGCTTTTCACTCTCTCCCATCAAAAATTGTCGTCACTTTCGATGTCGATCTCGCTGTCTTCTTCTTTTAACGGCGCCTCATTGGGATCATAAGAACTAAATGGAAATTGTCAAATGCATTACAATAAAACTAACCTACCTAAAAGCATTTCTCGGTAGAAAATGTCTCCATTTGTAAATCCTTTGTGCGGACTAATGATCCTCCGTCTTTCCCCGCCGCAATTGTAAAGCATTTCGTCAAAAGTTATCTAAATGAAATCATAAAAATCCACAACAAAAACAAACTAGAATGAATTTGTGATCAACGAATCAATCTGGAGGTGGCGTAGCACTTGAGATTACAGGCGGTAGCGCAATTTCGGGATCGCGAAATTATGGAGTTCCAGGTGAAGCTAGAGCACATAGAAAAGCACTCTGAAAAAGCACATATAAAATCAAAATATTAACCTTAATTCCCTTGCCTCCGAGAACATTCTTTATTCTGTCGATAGATTTCGTTTCCTCCTTTTTATATTGTTTGTCCATGGTTTTTTGTTGTCTAATTCGAGTTGACTGTCGTCAAACCATTTCAAAACTTCTTTCTTTGTATTCTGAAGTTAGATTCCTATTGACATGGTTTCAAAAGAGTGGCGCGAAAGCGTGGATTCGCGACCGTACCCCTGTCAAAAATCCCCCTTTTGCCATTCTTTTGATTTTCCTTTACGATGAAAAATGATTACTCCTCTAGATTAATGAAATACAATTAAAATGGCTACTGCTCTAGATTGTATTCTTTTAATGCTTTAAAATCTTTTTATAATCATTTCCTTTTATTTTCCAGCTTAAATTCAGCTCACTCAGTTGCTTTTGAGGGGATCCTTGATTATTAATTTCGATAGTTTAAGATATGAAGGATTTTTTGGATAAAATTTAGCTTTATCTACGTTTGATCACTTCTCATTCGTTTTTTTACATTTTTCGTTGGTTTTATGTTTTATTGGAGTCAATTTTAGTATCAAATACAATTTGTTGGAGTTCTTGATATGGTTTACAATGAAAAATGGTTACTGCTCTTTTGACAAAGGATGAAATCTATCGACAGAATAAAGAATGTTCTCGGAGGCAAGGGAATTAAGGTTAATATTTTGATTTTGTATGTGCTTTTTCAGAGTGCAAGACAGAAATGCAAGACAGAAATTTTATGGAATCTATCTAATCTAACCATGTATTCGTGAAAGATCGCCTTTTCGCAATAACCATATGCAGCTTCAAGGGTGATCGGGTTAAGTATCTGTGAGCGGAAAGTGGCGACCGTTTGTTACAGCAACACTTCATCGTCCTAAGAGTGGAAAGAGTGGTGCTAAAGCGCGGATGCGCGACCGTACCCCGCTCAAACATTCCCCTTTTGCCATTTTTTTGATTTTCCTTTACGATGAAAAATGATTACTCCTCTAGATTAATGAAATATTAGGTTGGCAAGTTATAAACGATCGTTTTTGGGTAATGTGTTTTCTGAAAAAAAGGGCTTATTCAATCAAAAAACGGTTTGCTTGATTCAAAAGCCCTATTCTTAATCTACAAAATGGCTTTTTTTAATTTTTGAAAAATGTTTTATTTTAGAACTTTTTCAGGCATTTTAATGTAAGAGTTTAAAATCCTGGTTTCTAGCATTCATGAGCTATTATATTTTTGAGTGATTGCATACTTTTTAAAAGAAAACGCTTCATCGATTAAATAGTTTTTCAAAATTTCAGAACAATCCAATCTTCGGAGGGTTGATTTTCAAATTAGGCTCAAAATGCACTTTTGTGCTAATTTAACCCATTTTCGTTTGAATTTCAGCAAAATTTTTAAAAAATGAACGAGAACGGTTCGATCGATTGGATTGTTCTGAAATTTTGAAAAACTATTTAATCGATGAAGCGTTTTCTTTTAAAAAGTATGCAATCACTCAAAAATATAATAGCTCATGAATGCTAGAAACCAGGATTTTAAACTCTTACATTAAAATGCCTGAAAAAGTTCTAAAATAAAACATTTTTCAAAAATTAAAAAAAGCCATTTTGTAGATTAAGAATAGGGCTTTTGAATCAAGCAAACCGTTTTTTGATTGAATAAGCCCTTTTTTTCAGAAAACACATTACCCAAAAACGATCGTTTATATTGGGTTGTCCAGTTATGAATGCGCGTTTTTACTATTTTGTAAATTTCTCAAGATATCGAACAGATGTATATGAGTGTTATATATCATTCGAAAGCTGAAGATCTCCTCTACATTTTGGAATAAAAAGTTTTTGAATTCATTCAACTTTTTGGGAAATTGACTGCACAAAGGGAGAGGTCGTTTTCGAAAAAAACCATTTCAGCTTAGCTATTCCTCAAGTTTTATGGTGTAAAATAACCGCCCAGAAAAGAAAAGAAAAGTAAAGATGCTCTGAAATTGTTATATTTAAAAAAAAGTTGTATTGATATATCTATTGGCCAAACATCAAACGGTTAACTCAATTTGAGCGGAGCCAAAACTTGATCCAAAGGCACCCTTCCATTTTTTGGCCACCTCTTCTTCTGTGCAGTCAATTTGCCCAAAAGCTGAACAAATTCAAAAACTTTTTATATCAAAATGTAGAGGAGATCTTCAGCTTTCGAATAATACTCATATATATCTTTTTCTTGATTCCGGTACCTTGAGAAATTTACAAAATAGTAAAAAACGCGCATTCATAACTGGACAACCCAATAACTTGCCAATCTAATACAATTAAAATGGCTACTGCTCTAGATTGTATTGTTAAATCTTTTTATAATCGTTTTCTTTCTTTTTACATGATTTTTTAAAATTTTAGATCTCAAGGATGCGACCTGATATCGAGGACCGGGATTACATGTATAGATTGATGATCAGGTGAGCCTTTTAGCCAATCTTTTTATCTAATCTTTTACTTTAGCCAACTCTTTTACGATGGACAGCAACAAATCGCACTCAGCTTGGCCTCGTCAACCGGTTGCTTAGCAAATCCGCCGGCTCCGTGTGACAAACTCTTCCGCCTCATCTCGATGGTCAAACAATTCGACGAGGCTGAGCAACAGGACGAGGAAAATGAACTTCAGGTTCTTTTTGTTTGGTTTTTTTGAAGTGTGGTTTTTTAGTTTGATGCAAATTCGGCCGGACTTGCTTTGGAATTTGATGCTGACATCGTGCCCGAATCGCCCGAGACGTGTTTGTGTGAGACGATCAACTTGACTGCTCAGAAAGCCTCTTGTCGATCTGCAGTTTTCAATTCTGATGGTGTGTTTTATTTTGGAGCAACTTTTGATCAAATTAAATTCGCAAGAAAGTCTTTGCAAAGATTTAAACTGGAATTTCTTACAAACGAGTCCACCAATTCAAGAACACTTTGTTCTACCATTTACAAGTCGTCTTTAAGAAATTAGTCGTAAAAAGGGCAGCTTTCCCAGCTTCCCTTTCAGGGATTTTTCAAAAAGTATGATTTTCCGGCGAAAATTCAGCTCAATGAGTTGAGTGCTTTTAAGGGTATCCTTGATTATTAATTTGAAAAGTTTAAGATATGAAGGATTTTTTGGATAAAATTTAACTTTATCTACGTTTGACCGCTTCTCATTCGTTTTTGGTGCATTTTTCGTTGGTTTTATGATTTATTGGAGCCAATTTTACTATCAGATACAATTTGTTGGATTTCTACTGAAAAATGGCTACTGCTCTAGATTAACCTAAAAGAGTGGTTTTTCGTGAGAAAAGTGACTTCAGTAAATCATATAAATGTGAATTCGAATGACCTCTTTTGATTTTCAGATACGAGAATGCCGGTTGCAACGCGGCCACAAAAACGGGAGCAAGAACCGGAACCTCAGAAGTTTGGAGATTTACCTCTGGAGCTGGTTGAGAAGATCGCACACCATCTCGATGTGGAAAACGTGGGGAAATTGATGATGGTGAACAAGAGGCTCTACGCGAGCTATGCAATGGATCAATCAATCGTTCTCGGAAAGCACGTCGCTATGGTTGCCCTTGGACAGCGCTCCCAAATGAAAAATTGGATCCGGAAGTTCGTCGGTTCTCCGTACCTTCAACTGAATGCAACTCTTCTTCCTTTCGCCAAACAGATTGTCTCATGCGACAAGTTAGATATCGTTGCCGAAGCCAGATGGGCCAGATGGATGCCCGTAGACCAGTTGAAATCCGTGAACCAACTCAATTTCTCTGATGGCACGAAGGAAGATTGCCTGAACTTCCTCACCAATTTTTGTGGATCGGTCAAGAAGCACGCATCACTCCGCATCAGACGATTTGTACAAGATCAAGAAGTAACAGATCAACTCTGCAAATTCATCGAAAACCATTTGAACGGATGCGAAGAGATCTTTCTAAATTGCGACTTCCGGGATGGTTTCCACTTCTACCACGAGGCCATGATGAAAACGCAGGTCAAAATGATTGTAGTTGGCGGGGCCAATCCCGAGGACTGGATTACTCCCCTCGAATTCGAACAAATCGTCCACTGCATTGTCAATCGAGGAATTCCAAGTAAGAATTCTGAAGCCGGGATTTTCATGACGACGCCAAGTGATTATGATTATGAAAAGGTTTATGACCCGGTCGTTGATTTTCTTTCACAAAAGCACGGACTTGAACGAATCGATGACGGTGAAAATCACTCGGCACTCGTTTCTCGTGGAAACGACCTTTTAGAGGATTGTGGTTTCGGTAAAAATAGTTTGTGTTTCCGCCGCCGAATCGATCCAACAACGAGTTGCATCTACCTCTTTCGTGAGTTTTTAGGTCTTTATTTTTTGGCCTTCTACATGCCTTCCCAATGAAAAAGTTATTTGTTGCTGCTTTCTGTTACTTTTTTAACCAAATAA